CTTGTTGTAAAATCTTAAAATTTATAATTAGTTGGACAATGCATGAAAAATGTGAGTTGGTCTACAACAGAACAATCTTAACTTGTGGTAAAATCCTAATAATATATATATCAGTCAACACTCTTTCTATGTAAAATATAACACTTTTCTTATGGGTTAATCCCTCAACTTTTAATTAAAATGATTATTTGAAATATCAAACCTCTGTCTAAGCACCAGTTACAGGTTATCTTTTTATTCCCCAGCAGTTTTCTCCTCTTGGACACCATTGTGGCTCAAAAAAAAAAAAAAGAATGTTCCAATGGGTGCCAGCTCACATTGGGATACCCGGCAACGAGAGGGCCGACCAGCTCGCAAACAGCGGAGCAGAGCAACACTACTTGTCAAGGCCCCTCCTTGCACCTTTATAACAGCCAATCTTCAAAATGTACAACGTTTACCAGCCTGGATGGTCTATCGTTAAACTGCCCATTCTAACTGGAAAAAACAATCTCTTAGCTGGCGATTTTATTGCCTGGTCCCCAAGATTTGGATACCCCAAACTAGATCGGGTCGGCCTGGCCGTTGAAGATTATATTGATGAAAACGGACTGTTGCATCCGCAAAGTGGAAAAACACAGCCAACTTTTCTACGGAATGCCACCCAAACCAGGCCGGACCTCACTCTGATGTCATCCAAGATATTCCCTTGATCCCACACTGAGGTGCTACCGAGTTGTGGATCGGATCACCTGCTCATATTGACAACAGTAACCGTTAAAAATGGCAAAAGTAACAGTACGGCTACACAGCTACGCTATGTGTACAAGCGAGCCGATTGGCCTGCCTTCGCCCGGCAGTGCAGTCACACTCTGGCCAACTTCAACACAAGGCAAGGCAGCGTCAACGACCTTACTGAAGAGATCGCCGCCGCCCTCCGCCAGGCCGCCCGCAACACCATCCCCCGGGCACAGGTCAACACACTCAAGGTACACACAAGACAGCCGTGGAACCGACACCTCAGGAGACTCCAGGCCCAAAGAAATACACTGAGGGTAGCTATGGGGCGACGGTCAAAGGCAACGCCCAGACAGGTTGTATTACACCGAAGGCTGACTCGAGAAATACAAAAGGGTATTCGAGATCTGAAAAAAACAACCTGGTCAGAAGAGACGACCTCACTGGACGCCAAGAGACGGGGGAGAAGGATGCACCAACTCCTGCAAGGCGAAAATGAGCCACAAGTTGGAAACGCTCCGCTAAGAAGCCAACAGGGGCTTATTTATACCGACTTTGGGCGCGCCCAACTGTTGAACCGCCGGCTCTGTGGCATCGGGCACGGTACACCACCGTCCGTCGAGCGTGAAGTTTTCCATCGGCACAGGATTACCAGGGAGAAACACCAGGGGAAGAGAAACAACTCGGCTCTGTTTTCGACCCCTTTCCTGACATGGGAGCTGACCAATGCTATAAAGAAGACCACCACCGGTCGCTCGCCAGGAGACGATGGCATCTCCTATGAAATGATGCAGCATCTCAATGGCGACGCCCTGAAGGCTGTTCTCGCGCTCGCCAATAAAACCTGGCGAGATGGGGAAGTGCCACGTGCCTGGCGGCGGGCCACAGTGAATTTAATACCCAAACGGGGGAAAGACCCGCAGGAAGTAAGCAGCTATCGCCCCATAGCGGTAACATCCTGTTTAGGGAAGGTCGTCGAGCGAATGGTCAACGCACGACTAGAGTACCACCTTGAATCCGGACACCTCCTCGCTGCAAATCAATTCGGATTCAGACAGGGACGGCAGGCTATAGATCCCGTGATCAGACTAACACAACATGTACGCGAGGCGTTTGTAGCAAAGGAACGGACTGGAGCTGTATTCATAGACCTAGACAGCGCGTACGACAGAGTCGACCCCTCATTGCTACTCTACAAATTGCAGCAGAAGGGAGTTGGCGGTCAAATGTACCAGTGGCTGAAGAGCTACATACTCCACCGTAAGGTCCGCACCAAATTCCAGACGGCCTTCTCCAAATTTAGGAACATCACGCTGGGCGTTCCCCAGGGATCCTGCCTGTCGCCCCTGCTATTCAATGTATACATAGACGACATTGTTAGGAGATTGGGTTGCCACGCCAGTCTATTCGCAGACGATCTGGTCATCTACGATTCAGGCAAAAATATACAGGACATCGAGACCAACCTGCAAAATGCCATAGACGCCATTAGCACGTACTGCCGCCAGTGGCAATTAAAAATTAACCAGGAGAAAACATGTTACCATGTGTTCGGACTATCAGTAACCGGACATTTGGAGCGGATGAACCTCCTGTGCTCAGGATCGCCCATTCCTTATGAGCAGAATCCGCGATACCTGGGTATAATTATGGACAGGAAACTACTCATGGCAGCACATGTCAAAGACTTGGCCCTCAAGTTTGATAGACGATGCCATATGTTCCTGTACAGGTTGGCATCTAGCAACTGGGGCGCCACAGCTCAAGTGTTACGGACTGTGTACCTCCCCATGGTACGTTCGATAGTGAACTACTCGGCGCCAATTTTACTCTTGGCTGCAGAACGTACCCTGGACCAACTCTACACTCGCCACACGAGGGCTGTGCGTTTCATATCTGGACTGACCAGGAATGCTTCAAACATATGTGCGTCCATAATGACAGACATTGAGCCGCTGCACCACACCCTTCAGGCTGCAATGATGATGGCTTTCGAGAGGCACAGGCGTTTGCCCCCTCATGACCCGATGAGACAAATTAACGCCACGAAATCTTTCTATCACGTCTTCACATTGTCAATCGCCGGACACCAACAGCGGCTTAATTTACATGTTTCAGGGGCTCCCATCCCCCATGAGGAGCACCCCAAGTACCTAGGAGTCACCTTGGATAGGAAGCTGCTAATGACCACTCATATTCGCGGGCTCGCCACTCAGTTTGACCACAAGTGTCGGACACTATTGTATCGGCTCGCTGCTTCCACATGGGGAGCCAGCGCCGAAGTTCTGAGGACCGTGTACCTAGTGATGGTCCGGTCAGTACTGCACTACTCTGCCCCAGTCCTGATGTTGGCCGCTGACCGAAATTTACAGGACCTTTACGTTCGCCACAACCGGGCCGTCCGGTTCATCACTGGTCTGGGTCCCAACTCGTCAAATCTGTTTCCATCATGGCAGACGTAGAGCCGCTCAAGTTCACCTTTATGGCTGCCCTCATGACCACGTTTGAGCGTTACCGACGCCTACCAGACTGCGACCCCATGAGGCAGCTTTATGAACATTACCTGATTGTTCGACCGAGATTGTCCCGGCTTCTCAAGAAGAGCCCTCTCGAGATGGCAGGGAAACTTTTGGGACGCGGTCGACATTGTGTTTCTGCGCGGGGAATGCCGTCCATTGAGCACCTTGCCCCTGCTGCCACCGCATGTCCTCAAAAAGTTTCCCAGCGTTTCGCTTTCTCTACCCGGTCCTACCCCGCTCGCCGTCGGAGAGGCCGTGTTCAGACAGATGTATGATTCCTTCCCAGATGGCACATTTTGCATTTATTCGGACGGTTCCACTGTCGGAAATGACTCTATCCAGTCTGGATATGGGTTTCTTATTCAGAGGAAAAACGTTCCGGAGTTCACAGATATCGAGGGCTGTGGTCCGATCTTTGGCTCAATCTACCAGGCTGAACAGATGGCCATCCTGCGCGGTCTCTCAAGACTCCAGATCTTGCCTAGCTTTCCAAGGAGTGGTGTCGGCAGTTCAGTTCAAGTTTGCGTCTTCACCGATTCGCTATCCACATTGAAGGCTCTGTCAAACCCCCACTATGACTGCTGCCGTGCCGATGATTGGATCGGGCACATTCTTACTCTTCACCGGACACTTTCCGTTCAAGGGGTCGTCCTCACTTTTCAATGGATACCATCTCACGCTGGAATCTCGGGCAACGAGAGTGCCGATGCTTTAGCCAAGTCTGGGGTAGACCAGCACTACCTCGCCGAGACACCTCCCGTCACCTTTTCTACCGTCAAATTGGTTATTAGAAAACAGGTACGGGCTTGGTGGCTGAAGAGCTGGCATGATTCCTCTGACAACGATACGCTTAAAAGCAAGATGCCCAGGCCCATGAGGACGGCCGACGCCTGGTGGAAGCTGACCAGGTACCACCAAACCATTATTGCCAGGGCGAGGACAAACGGGTATCTAGTCAACCACCCAGAATCACCCAGCGGACGCGTCACCACCGAGTGCCGGCTGTGCTCGACCGGTCTGGAAACGGCCACCCATGTCTTGTCCTGCCCTCTCATGGTGGATGAGAGGGTCGCTATCTTTAAACTTGGTTCGCCCATCCCTCTTGGCCAACTGTGGGGAAAAGGCGACGCCAAGCTAGCCTTTTTGAGAAAAGTCGGACAATATCTAAGGACTTACCTTAGACAGGTGCACAGGAAGGCCGTGGTCAGGGATGGCTTCGTGCGCCTCTTCATGTAATATTTGCATTAAATTTTTCCATTTCTATCTATGAATTTCTCGATGCTGAGGCCAACGGCATCGTGTTTCGGGTAACCAAATCGCGGCGACTCTCGCATCCACAGGGTAAGAATTCGCTGCCCACGTTCATTCGTCGAGGCGCCCGGACCATGCCGGATTTGACATTGATTTCACCACGTCTCTTCGGTGCATCCTCGACTGTCGTGTTGCCGGGATGCGGCTCGGACCACTTGCCCGTTTTAACAATTTTTTCTTTTCCCTCCTCCCGGTCTGCCCGTTCTGACTTGGCTCGCCCAGTTTGCAGATTTATCTACAAGAGGGCCAATTGGGCGGCTTTTTCGGCTGAATGCGACAAGTCCTTCGAAGGGTTCTCCACCTTACACGGCACTATGGACGATTTGGCGAGGGATTTGACGGCCATCATCCGTCGTTCTGCCCGCCTGCATATCCCGCGGGTGGTGTGTCGGGGTCAACCCAAGTCAGACCAGCCTTGGTCTCGCTCGCTCACCCGTCTCAAAAACCGACGGAATGCCCCGAGATTCGGCATGGGGCGACGGGCCACCCCCCCGGCAAACCACTCTATACAGGAGCTTGTCCCGAGAATTGGCCACAGAGATCAAGCGGCTCAAGAGGCGAACCTGGTCCGAGACGACCTCTTCGTTGGACCCCCGTCGCAAGAGTCAGGGGCTCTACCGTCTCATGAGGATACTGCAGGGTGACAGCGAAGTCCCCCTGGAAAACGCCCCTCTGCGAGGTTCTCACGGACTTGTTTTTACAAATTTTGGACGGGCTCAGTTTTTGAATCGCCGTTTGTGCCAAATTGGTCGCGACATTCCCAGGACACCGGACAGGGACGATCTGCACCGTGAGAGGCTCGCTACGGAAGGATCCAAAGCGAAGCGTCACAATCAGTCGCTGTTCTCGAAGCCATTTACTTTACACGAGCTCGAAGATGCCATTCGCCGCACCACTCCCGGTCGCTCGCCGGGTGCCGACGGAGTATCGTATGAAATGCTCAAACATTTGTCTACCGTTTCCCTGCGAGCTGTTCTTGCCCTCGTTAACAAGACCTGGAGGGACGGTGAGGTCTCAGAAGCCTGGCGGGAGGCCGTTGTCACCCTCATTCCAAAGAGAGGCAAGGATCCCCAGGACATTAGCGGTTATCGACCGATTTCCGTCACCTCCTGCCTGTCGAAGATTGCCGAGAGGATGGTCAACTCCCGGCTGAACTTTCACCTCGAGTCGGCTCGAAAGCTTTCCCCGTACCAGTTTGGCTTTCGCTCCGGGCGTCAGGCGATCGACCCGGTCGTTAGGCTCGTGCAGCATGTCCGGGAAGCTTTTGTCGCCAAGCACAACACCGGTGCCGTGTTTTTCGATTTGGCCAACGCCTATGATCGAGTGGATCCGTCACTCTTGCTATTGAAACTACTTCACAAAGGGGTCGGAGGACAACTCTATTATTGGCTCAAGAGTTTCCTTTTGCATCGGAGACTCCGTACTAGTTTTCACTCGGCCGTTTCACACCGTCGGCTCATTAAGCTCGGGGTCCCCCAAGGCTCCCCACTTTCCTGTTCGCTGTTCAACGTGTTCATCGACGACATTGTTCAGGGATTGGGCTCCAAGGCGAGCCTCTACGCCGATGACCTGGTGATTTACCACTCTGCCAAGGGGACCGCCGAGATCGAGAACGTGCTTCGTCGGGACGTAGACGCTGTCTTGGCCTACTGCCGCCGCTGGCAGTTAAAAGTCAACGCGACCAAGACGTGTTATCATGTCTTTTCCCTCTCCGTCACCGGAAATAACCTGAATCTGAACTTGGACGTTGGCGGTGTGCCCACCCCTCTCGATGAGCATACCAAATATCTAGGGGTCACCCTCGATAGGAAATTACTTTTTTCCTTCCACGTCAGGGAGCTCGCCGCCCTTTTTGATCTGCGCGCACGCACCTTGTTCTATCGTCTCGCGTCCACCACCTGGGGAGCTTCGGCGGAGACTTTGCGGACAGTGTACCTCGCCATGGTACGATCGATTTTCCATTATTCTGCCCCCGTTTTGCTTCTGGCGGCTGACCGCTCTCTGCAAGAACTCTATATCAGGCATCGTCGTGCACTGCGTTTCATAAGCGGACTCTTGAGGAATTCCTCCCACATTTTAATCTCTGTCATGGTCGATGTGGAGCCTTTGATCTTTACTCTCCAGGCCTCTCTCATGACCAGCTATGAGAGGTATCGGCGCATGCCGTTGCACGACCCCATGCGGCAGATGTTGGAGCACTACTTGGCCATTCGCCCCACTCTGACCAGGTTACTCAAGAAAAGCCCTTTGGAGATGGCCGGTTGTCTTTTGGACAGATTTGACCTTGTGCTACTGCCGGGAAAGGTTCGTCCTCTCGTTTTCACACCGTTCTACGCACCACACTTCCTGAGGAAATGGCCCGCCGTCCATCTAAATCTCTCGGACATTCCACCAACGGCCGCAGCCGGGGAAGTAAAAGACGCCTTCCATCGTCTCACGGCGACCTATCGAGAACAGTCGCTGCTCGTTTTTACAGATGGATCCACCACCGGCACAGACTCGATCTTGTCGGGCTTTGGTTTTTTGATCGAGAGACATTCCCAGACAAGTGCCGACTCTTACCGGTTTGAAGAGTCGGGCCCTGTGTTTGGGAGCATTTTTATGGCTGAGCAGACAGCCATCTACCAGGCCCTCTCGAAGATTCTGAGAGCTTTCCATGCTGGCGAACTGGGTCCGTGTCCAGTCTATGTTCATTCGGACTCTTTATCCACATTACGGGCTCTGCTCAATCATTTTTACCGGGCAGATGACTGGATCGGGGATATCGGTCGTCTTTCTGCGACTCTCCATGAGAAGGGATTCCCCGTCCAGTTTCAGTGGATTCCATCCCACTATGGAATTTTCGGTAATGATACGGCCGACCACCTGGCGAAGAACGGAGCGGGCATGCACTACGCCATCGAAGCTCCGCCCGTTACCCTCTCTTCAGCCAAGCTTATCATAAGGAAGCAGGTGAGACAGTGGTGGCTGCGCGAGTGGCACGGTTCCTCAGATGCGCCCTTCCTTAAGGAGAAACTTCCACGGCCCATGAGGACGGCTGATGCGTGGTGGAGCCTGACGCGCTACCACCAGATCGTGATTTCTCGGGCAAGGGCAGACGGCTACCTGGAGAACCATCCGGCAGCCCCTGATGGCAAGGTTACCACCCCTTGCCGATTATGCAGACGTGAGTTGGAGACCATCACGCACGTTCTCTCTTGTCGCGTGCTAGAACACATGTGGGACACTTTATTTGGCTGCACCGGGCCCATACCTGCCGGCCAACTGTGGGGCAAAGGCAACGCACGAGCTGCCCGTCTTCGCAAGATCGGGCACTATCTGAGAACATTCCTACGAGAGGTTCACAAGGCAGACAAGCTGAGAGATGGCTTTGAACGCTTGTTCCTTCGCTTTTAAATTATTACACTTCGCCAGGTTTCTCTATGTTTTGAGAGCCGGCCCAAAGTTACTCATGACTTTTTGCTTTATTAATTTAATTTTAAAATATTTTAAATTTCTTTCGTGTTGGTTCTACCGTTACATTTCAGGTTTCCTTCCCGCACCAAACTACCAGAGCCTTGTCCCGAAAATAGTAGGTGACGTAAAAACCCAAGCTGCGCTTAGTTCGGACCGAACACTCGAGCAAATGTCAGGTCCTTAACCCTGCAACCACGGGAAGGTGGCAACTTAAGGAGAAACAAAATCACCCCCTCCCGCCCTGCTTCCTTCCGGATAAGCTAGGCAGGGTTAGTTTTTTCCTCCATCCACTTATCACAATCACATGGCTTTCGGCCAGAGATCGTAACTCGTGAATCGGAACCTCAGGACTCTACAGTTAGTTACTACCGACGCTTTACCCAAGCCCCATAAAATGGACCCGGTCCAGCCTTAAGAGCCTCCTCACCCCAGGTTCCTATTTTCGAAGCCTTGTGCCGTAGACGTTATACCACTGCCCCCCCCCCCAAAGGGGAGGAGTGTCGGCAGACCGAGCCAGCCGCGGCAACTTGAACAGTTTCCCCGGGCAAGGGTAATTTCTATCAGGCGGTTCCAGCAGTTGTTTTTACCCCAGGTTCACCTTGGACATTTGACTGAGCCGTCCTGCTGGCGCGGGGAGAAGACCAGTGGGTGCCTTGTCCCGAATAGACTTTTCCTTGTCTCGAGTAGACTTTACCTTGTCCCGAGTAGACTTTTCCTTGTCCCGAGTAGACTTTTCTTTGTCCCAAGTAGACTTTACTTTGCCCCGAGTAGACTTTTCCCTGTCCCGAGTAGACTTTTCTTTATCCCGAGTAGACTTTTCCTTGTCCCGAGTAGACTTTTCCTTGTCCCGAGTAGACTTTACCTTGTCCCGAGTAGACTTTTCCTTGTCCCGAGTAGACTTTACCTTGTCCCGAGTACACTTTTCCATGTCCCGAGTAGATTTTTCTTTGTCCCGAGTAGACTTTACTTTGCCCGAGTAGATTTTACCTTGTCCCGAGTAGACTTTACCTTGTCCCGAGTAGATTTTACCTTGTCCCGAGTAGACTTTACCTTGTCCCGAGTAGACTTTTCCTTATTCCGAGTAGACTTTTCTTTGTCCCGAGTAGACTTTTCCTTGTCCCGAGTAGACTTTTCTTTGTCCAGAGTAGACTTTTCCTTGTCCCGAGTAGACTTTTCCTTGTCCCGAGTAGACTTTCCCTTGTCCCGAGTACACTTTTCCTTGTCCCGAGTAGATTTTACCTTGTCCCGAGGGGAGAGTTATTTTTCGAAGTATTTCCTTTCTGTAGTCCATTTTGCACACTAGTTACTAAGGAGAGTCAGAGCGCGCTTTCTGATTCCCTTTTCACTTGTCCATGGTAGTGCTTTTTCTCTAGTACCGCCAGCTGGTTTGTTAGAGTTTTGAACATTGGTTTTTATCGGTCAGCATTCGAGGGGATAATCATGTTTTTAGACAGTCGTCCTTTGATCATGAAAGTTACTGTGGAGAATCAGTACGAGCTTTATGATTCTCTTTTCAATTTTACTAGTATTGATGCCTGTCAGCTCACTAGAGGCTCAGTAGTCGGTTTCATTAAGTACCGGTAGATTTGGTTATTTATTAAGAAACGCATCTCAATTCAATGTGTTTTTAAGTCCTCATCCGTTATACCCAGTCGCCAGCTTTAGCGGTAAGTATAGCTAATTATAGTCATTAGTATTTATTCGCCCACCCATTTTCGTCCCCTATATTGTTACTGTCGATCAGAGTTTCTCCCAGACAAGTCTACCGCCCCCCCCCCCAACGAAAAGAAATTTATATAGAAAATATATACTTTGAACAGTGTACGCCCCCCCCCCCCCCCGAATAAATTCTACCATCCCCCCCGAAAATTTCAAGTGCCCCTCCCCCCGTAGAAAAAAGTCTGAAAGAAACAATGCTGTCGATGTTGATGTATGTTTCCGTTAGCCGACGATAACCGGTATGCGGTAATCGGTATGCGGTAATCGGTAGATAGTGTCGGGTACTTATCTTGTACAGTACGGCTCCCCCCCCCCCCCCCCGTAGCTTTCATCGTCATTGCCCGCATCGCCATTATTAACGTTATTATCGCCATCGCCGCCGTCGGTATAGGGCTGGAAAGTCCTGTTCTACGGCTCAATAAAACCTGCATGAGCCATATGGCTGGCTGGTGACCTACTTAACAGCCGTATCGCCGCTGCCGTTATTGTTCTCGTCGTTATAAACATTGCCGCCACAGCTGTTAGTGTTGATGCCACGGGCGTAGCAGCAGCTATTTATCATTTATCATCATAATTACATTATTTTTCTTAATTATCCTCATTAGTTATCTTAATTACTCTAGCTTGGTGTGTAATGTATGGTGTTCCTTACCTGTTTATGTCATCTTTTTCTCACGTCGGCTGCATCTCCTGGTGGAATCCGTCCTATCTTATTATTGTTGTTGTTGCCGCTGCCGTATACTGCCGTGTGTTGTCGTCGACTTATCTACTGCGGTCATTACCGCAAACCTTACCTTATAATATTACCCTATCCGTGTCTGTTTTCCTTCTTAGTGTACAGCGGCTGGCTCTCCTGGCGGGATCCATGTTTGTTTTGTTTTTTGGGGCGCATCGCGTTCATTATATGTTTCTATGGGTTTCTATCGGGATTTGAGCCCGTCACTACCTTAAAGTTCGTCACTTCCGCCATTTTTTTTCCGTATCAAGCCTTTCATTGAGCAAAATGTCTTACACTCGAAATCGCACCAATGCCCGTGGCGGACAAATGTACGAGTGGTTGAAAAGTTTTCTACAGTACAAGATTCCAAACGGCCTGCTCCAAGTATAGAAACATTTCGCTGGGCGTTCCCCAAGGCTCCTCGCTCTCACAGCTCTTGTTCAATTTATACATTGACGATATTGTTCGTAGATTGGGTTGCCACTCCAGTTTATTTGCTGACGATCTAGTCATTTACACTTCAGCAAAGAATTTGACTGACATCGAGACTAGACTGCAGAACGCTGTTAATGCCATCAGCACTTACTGCCGCCAGTGGCAATTGAAAATAAATCTATCTAAAACGTGCTACCATTTGTTCGGACTCTCGGTTACCGGCCATTTGGACAGGATGAATCTCGTATGTTCAGGCACACCAATTCCATACGAGCAGCATCCTAGATCAGAGGTCGGCAACCTTTTGAAGCGGAAGAGCCAAAAGTTATAATTTTCAATATTTCCCTGGTTTTAAAGAGCTACTAACATTTTTTTATTTCAAATATTTTTTTTTATTAAGATTATTAGTATTTGTTCAAGGAGCTGGAGAGCCGCATCTTGATATCAAAAGAGCCGCATGCGGCTCGCGAGCCGCAGGTTGTCGACTCATGTCCTAGATACTTGGGTGTCATTCTTGACAGGAAGCTACTCATGTCGGCCCATGTGAGAGACTTGGCACTTAAGTTTGACAGAAGATGCCAAATCTATCTGAGACTTGGCACTCAAGTTTGACCGAAGATGCCAGATCTATCTGTACAGTTTGGCCTTCAGCAACTGGGGTGCCACAGCACAAGTGTTGCGGACAGTGTACCTCACCATGGTACGGTCGGTACTTAACTACTCGGCGCCCATTCTACTCTTGGCTGCAGACCGTACCCTGGAACAACTATACGCTCGCCACACGAGGGCAGTACGATTTATTTCCGGACTGACAAGAAACTCGTCTAACATAGTGGCGTCCATAATGACAGACATTGAGCCGCTGCACCACACCCTTCAGGCTGCAATGATGGTGGCTTTCGAGAGACACAGGCGTTTGCCCCCTCATGACCCCATGAGACAAATGGTCGAGCGGTTTAAAACCATCCGCCCCTTGATGGACCGCCTGGTGAAGAAATCCTTCCTGGATAAAGCTTGTACATTGGTTGATAAAATTGACCTGGTATTCCTGCCCGGGGTCACTCGCCAGTTAATCTACGTACCCCCCTTTCCACCACATCTGCCCAGGAGACCGCCTGCCGTGTACCTCACGTTGTCTGGGACCATCCCCACTTGTCCTGGGGAAGCTAGGGACATATTCAACCTTATTGTTGCCGAGTATCCGGACGGGTCAGTGTCAATATTCACTGACGGATCAACCGCTGGAACCGACTCTGTCCTCAGCGGTTTTGACTTTACGATCCAAAGAAAAAAATAGACACGTGGCTGGATATAGAGGATTGCGGGCCTTTGTTTGGTAACGCATATTTGGCGGAGAAGACAGCCATACATATGAGCTTGATAAAACTGAGGTCCCTGATCAGTGAAGGCGATTTGCCTGCCAACAATCGCCAGCATATTACCGTACACACTGACTCGCAGTCAACTCTACGGGCACTGGCAAACAGTCATTACGACTACTTACGGTCAGACGACCACATCGCTGACATCATCATCCTATGCCAAGAACTTGGGCGCATGGGTGTCTCTGTGGCCTACCAATGGGTGCCAGCTCACATTGTGATACTCGGCAATGAGAGGGCCGACCAGCTCGCAAACTGCGGAGCCGAGCAGCACTACCTTGTCGAGGCCACTCCATGCACTTACATTACAGCAACATTCATCGCCAAAATGCAAGTTCGCGCCTGGTGGCATCGACAGTGGTAAGAATCGAGCGACCATCCAGATCTTAAGAGAAAGCTGCCGAGGCCCATAAGGAAGATCGACATCTGGTGGTCCCTAACCAGATACCAACAGGTGGTGATCGCAAGGGCTAGGGTCAATGGTTACATCAATACCTTCCCCGATGCTCCAAATGGTAGGGTGACCACCCTATGCAGATTATGTCGCACCGAGAATGAGACCGCCACCCACGTTCTCGCCTGTCCAGAAAAACTCTTCTCTAGCGGTCACCCCATCAACGCTGACCAGCTATGGGGTCGCAATTAGACACAACTTGTCACACTGAGGAAAATAGGGCACTATTTAA